TGATCCAACTGAGAGCAGGAGACAAGAATAATTTAATTATTTTTAAAAATTAAAGTGTGCTATTAATTTTTTAAAGGAGAAACTGTGTTTTCAAATCTCACTTCTAGACTCACGGGATGTCTGACTCTGCAGAGATGAGTATATATGAATTTGCTCCTGCAAATATATCTACACTAATGCATAATTTATATTCAGTATATATCCATAAATACTCATGAATTTGTTTCCTGCCCGATAGTTGTTGTTTTTTTTTTAAATATTTGGAGTTATTTAATTCCACAATAAGCAGGGAAACTGTCAAAGAATTGATGGCAAGAAGGCAGTAAGCTTCCTCCTTTCAGTTAACTGTTATTATCCACCATCCTGAAGCACAGAGAAACCTGTAATTCTTAAGCTTTGCTAAACTGTTGTGTTGAAATATGTTGAATCTTGAATAACAGAGAATGATGCACATAAGTTTTGTCATAAAACATGCTTTGTTGCCCTAGCCAGGTTGACTCTGCTGATAGAGAGTTGGCTTGCAGACTAAGGGGTTCCTGTTTTGATTCCAGCTAAGGGCACATGCCCAGGTTGTGGGCTTGATGATCCCCAGTGGGGTGCATGCAGGAGGCAGCTGATCAATGATCAATGATTTTTATCATTGATGTTTCAATCTCTCTCTCCCTCTTCCTTTCTCTTGAATCAATAAAAGATATTTTTTTTTAAAATGCTTTGTTCACTTTCCAATTTTCTTCAAGTCTATAATCTCTATTGTGGGCTATCTGTATATCTCAGATTATTGAATAACAACAACACCTTTCCTTTCAACATAGAAGTTACCACAGGGAGCAGGGCATTTTGTTAAAAAAAGGTAAGAGGTGCAACAGTTGAATAGCCATAAAAGATTATCTTGCTCTATTGAAGATTTCCGTGTTTTGCTGCTGTTCACCCATGGAACATTTTGCTATTTCTTCAAGGCCTTGAGCTGGCTGGGCAGGCTTTCCTTTGTTTTTATCTATGCTTTTATCTTGCAAGCAATGTCACATTTTCTCTGAACGTTACCATTTCCATAATCTTAATGGAAACAGAGAATAGTTATAAAAATCTCCACAATCCTAAGGTAGAATACAGTATAATAGTAAAGACATCCTACAAATTTCACTATTGTACTTCTCTTTTCTTTTATTGACAATATGTAAGTAATCAATAAAGAACAAATAATTAAAAAGTATCCCAAGGCCTAATTTCATGTAAGGAAATCCACCAAAAGCTAGAAGAAGTCAACATATCAATCACATAAGTATCATGACAATGAGACTAATTGGCTCTAATTTTAAGTCTCTACTATGAGAAACATTTAACACATCAAATGTTATATGTGACAATTTTGTTTCCAAATGCACTGTAATGTATGTCAAGAAAAGCAGTTATTCCTGCAAGAATATTAGCTGCTCTAAATCCTTTGTAACATAAATTGAGGTGTTGTATCTGTTTATAATATTATGTATGTACTATATACAAAACAAATAAATTACATTATACATATTAATTATACATTACATAGCACATATTATATGCACCTATACTAAAAAAAGGGTAACATGCTAATTAGACCAGATAGACTGGACTTCTTCCTGATGTCCTTCCCGACAAAGCCATAGTGGTGGGTCCAAGGCAGAGGGGGTTAGGTGCAATCAGGCTGGCAAGGGAAAGCAATTAGGGGCGATCAAGCCAGCCAGGTAGAGCAGTTAGGGTTGATCAGGCTGGCAGGCAGAGGTGGTTAGGTGCAATCAGTTATGGAGGCAGAAAAGGAACTATAATTTTGAAGAAATAGCAACATGTTTGTAGTTTAGTTTTTCTCTTATTGCTGTGTTGCATTTGAATTGTTTTGTTATTGTTTTATTAATAGCCAGAGTTTTATTCTTTCTTGTTGCTGTATCACATTAATATTACTGTGTTGGTTATTCTGTTAATAACCAGAAGTTTGTTCTTGATATTTTGGTTATGCTGAATAACTTGCTTAGAGCTTTTGATTATGTAAATAGAAATGTTTAAAAAAAAAGGGAAGAATATGTGTAGAATGGACAGGTTCAAGCCTCGGACTAATGAGAGGGCATGGTCCTCTCATGGCCACATGCAAGTCCCAGCTTGGAGGGCAGAGCCTTCCCAGCACAAATATAGCCAACAGCTATAGTTGTAAGCTTGCACCTATGGTTTGAACACAAGGTCTCATGTGCCTGAGTGATGTGGGCTTGACAGAGTTCAGGTGCATGTAATTGAGTAGAATAAAAACCCACAATAATGTAAACATCTTGACCACGCCGTTTCTTTGCCTCATGGAACCTGGCTATAAAGACATGGCTTGTAGTCTGTGGTACTGTTGCTAGCTCTCCATCTGAGAGGCTCTCCATCAGAGAGGACAGCGTTCCACCAAGACCCAGCTTTCATTCTCTTGTCTATCTTTTCTCAATACTTCATCACCCCCACTCAGGTTCACCCATGGCCGTGCTGGTACAGCACACTAGTATATTATAAATAGGAAGCGACTTCTTTGTTAAGGGATTCATCTTTCAATAACTCCATCCCCTTATATATAAAATAGCAGAGATAGAAACCATTTTGATCCTTAAAAACTCAAAAATTTACTGACCACATTGTGCCACCATACCATCATTCCCTTTTAGGGACATGCTTCCTCAAAGTTCTTTCAATTCTGCACTATAGCAGGTGCCATCTATGCCTTGCCATGTGCCCTTCACATCTAAATCTTCTCTGTAGGTCAATTGCTTTATGTGAAACTGACTTTCTTTTTGAGGGCTTTCTCTGATCACTTCAATTGCCACTTTAGTCTTGCATGGATCAGGCCAGAAGTGGCAATTAAAGCCTGCAGGAGCAGTCCTCAACTAACAATAGAAGAAAATTGGTGGGAAAATAACCCAGCTCCTTTGCCTTTAGTTGGAATAATTCTAAGGTGAATTCTTCCAGATGTTCCCAGTGCGATTTAACCCTGTTTTCCAAGTGGCAACCTGCTTATTACCATACCATGAATTAGTATAATCTCTTCGCTGTCTTCATTCCCCTACCTATGCTTCCTGTTATTGTTATAGAGAAGTGTTACTGGACAATACAGTCCCCTGAGTTAGTGGGAGAAGGCTCTCCCCAACCTCTATCTTTGTGCTCTCATATAAAGGAATTTATATGAGAGACCTTAACTGCGCAGTGAAAAACTAATTTATTAAAGCAATTAAAACATGCACCTTTACTGAAAGACCTAAGCAAGCAAATCTATACATCTGGCTTATAAAGCACAGAGGAGCTCTCAGCTAATCTGAAGAGCAAGTTGTGTGGGGAACTGAGGTGTTATAAACCCTACTGTCTATAGACTTCAAAATTTCTCCATTGACTTTTTTGATACAGATTAATTCTCAAGGTTTCCACCCCCCCCCCTTTTTTTACTTTGTTTTGGCCTCCCCAATATTCATGAAAAGCACCTGGCAACTTTATTTTGCCAACCCTTGAGACTGCTGGCTTCTCTGCTTCGGGAGTAAAATGTCCCTTTCTTTCCTTTCTCCCCACCATCCCCCCTTTTTGCATTCTCTCATTAGAGATGGTTTGTTTGTTTTTTAACCATTTGCTCTGCGTTCTTGGCATATATACCCTCCCTCCCCAGATTTTTGTGTCCATTGGTTGTACTTATACGCATGTATACAAGTCCTTTGGTTGATCTATTATCTCCCCCAGTTCTCTCTACCCACCCCGTTGTAATTTGACAGTCTGCTTGTTGCTTTACTGTCCCTATATCTATCTTTTGGTTCATCAGTTTATAGTGTTCTTTATTATCCATAAATGAGTGAAGTCATGTGGTGTTTCTCTTTCATTGACTGGCATATTTCACTCAATTCCATCCAGGTTGCTGCAAAGGATGAGAATTCCTTCTTTTTATGGCAGCATAGTATTCCATTGTGTAGATGTACCATATATTCCTGATCCAGTCATCTGCTGATGGACACCTAAGCTGTTTCCAAATCTTAGCTATTGTAAATTGTGCTGCTATGGACATAGGGGTGCATATATCCTTTCTGATTGCTGTTTCTAGTTTCTTAGGATATATTCCTAGGAGTGGAATCACTGGGTCAAATGGGAGTACCACTTTTAGTTTTGTTTGTTTGTTTTCCACACAATTTTTATTTTTTTTTCAACTGTAAGCAAATAGCAGAATTAACACAACTCCATTTAGCAATTCCAGACTGGCTTTTGTTACACCAAGGAAGAGCGATAAACTTAACAGGCACAGACTATCAGATTTCAGATAACCCCTCACCCAGCCCTGCAGCTTAACAGGAAAGGGACTCTCCAGATTGCTTTTCCAGTACTGCTCTTCAGAGGATACACCTTTAAATTCTGGGTTGTTATTCTTGTATTAACAATCTGACCACATCCTAGTACCAAAATAGCCCCCAAAATGGAGTTCAAATTTGATCGAAACATAAATCCAGGGTGTGTGACCCTGTACAATGATAAAGGACAGGTAGAAGGAAAAATCACCCTCTGCTCAGGTCTCGCCTGTGAGAGTGGGAACAATGAAGAGGAGAAATCAACATGAATCACTGAACTTGTAAACACTGCTTGGGCCCCCGGGACCATCTGTCTCCTGGCTTTCCCCTAATTCACCACCAGCTGCTCATAGAGCTTGGGCACATAGTCATCCCATTCCGTCTGGTAACACGTGCCAGCCACTGGGGGCCCGAGGTCGTACTTTTTCTGGAAAGATGCCACCTTGAATTTGCCACAGTTGTCTCTAGATCGGTTGGTGAGAATGCGCTCGTCACACTTCAGCGGCTTGGCCTGCTCATAAACCAGCCAGATGTAGCAGTGAAGGCCTGTGCCCTTCGGAGGCCCAGAGCCCACATAATCAGAGGGGACGGTGCCACTGCTGATGTTGTTGTCCTTCATGTTGACCACCAGGAAATGGTGCCATTCCCTAAATTTGGGGTCCTTTCTGCTTGGAGCATCTGGGTCTGTCAAGACCAGGGTATAGAGTTTACTTGAATCAAGGCCATCCCATGAAATATTATACCAGAGGGCCAGCTCTTAACCTGGGTGGGCGTCAGCACTTTGCCCAGCTCGTCGACTTCTGCCCAGGAGTATTTGACCTGCAGCGGGTGCTTCGGCCTCTCGTCCACCTCCTGCCGGCTCAAGGGCCCGGACCACTGGCTGAGGTCCACTGGCATCGCGGGGCCGAGGGAAGGACCACTGGAGAGACACGGGGGGAGAAGCCAACAGCACCAACTCTTAGCGGTTCGCCAACCCCATTTTTAGTTTTTTGAGGAAACTCCATACTGTTCAGCACAGTGTCTGCACCAGTCTGCATTCCCACCAGAAGTGCACGAGGATTTCTTTTTCTCCACACCCTAGCCAACACCTGTAGTTTGTTGATTTGTTGATGGTAGCCATTCTGACATGTGTAAGATGGTACCTCATTGTCATTTTGATTTGTATCTCTCAGATAATTAGTGACTTTGAGCATGTTTTCACATGTCTCTTGGCCTTCCTTCTGTCTTTTTAAAAAAATATTCTATTTAAGTCCGTTGCCCATTTTTTATTTGATCATTTATCTTTCTTTTATTAAGTTGTATAAGTTGCCTGTAGATATTGGAGATTAAGCCTTTATCAGTGATAACACTTGCAAATATGTTCTCTCATACAGTGGGGTTTCTTGTTGTTTTGTTGATGTTTTTTATTTTTTTTCCTCTATGTCATTCATTTCTGCTGTGATCTTTATTATTTCCTTCCTTCTGCTCACTGTGGGCTTGTCTTGTTGCCCTTTTTCTAATTCCTTGAGTTGTTTTGTTAGATGATTTATTACTTTTTTTTTTGTTTTTGTTTTTTTGAGGTAGGCCTGTAGAGCTATAAACTTCCCTCTCAGGATTGCTTTCATTGTGTCCCATAGGATTTGCAATGTTGTGTTTTTATTGTCATTAGTCTCCAGGATGTTTTTAATTTCTTTTTTGATGTCATCGAAAACCCAATCATTATTTTGTAGCATGCTATTCAGCTTCCAAGTGTTTAAATTTTTTTGGATTGTTTTTATTGTTTATTTCTAATATTATGCCATTGTGGCTTGAGAAAATACTTGATATGATTTCAATCTTTTTGAATTTGGGGAGAGTTTGCTTGTGACCCAATATGTGGCTTATTTTTGAAAATGTCCCATGTGCACTTAAGAATAACATATATTTCATGGGCTTTGAGGTGAAATGCTCTGAAGTTGTCAATTAGGCCCATCTAATCTAGTGTGTCATTTAGAATTGCTATTTCTTTGCTGATTTTTTTTTCTAGCAGATTTATCTAGTGTTGTCAGTGGTGCATTAAAGTCCCCTACTATGATTGTATTGATGTCTATCTCTCCCTTGATATCTTCCAGGAGATTTTTTTTAATGTATTTGAGTGCTCCTGCATTGGCTGCATAATGTTTACCAGAGTTCTATCTTCTTATTGAATTGCTTCCTTTAGTATTATGTAGTGGACTTCCTTATCTCTTATTATGGCCTTTACTTTGAGGTCTATTTTTATCTGATATAAGTATTGCAACCCCAACTTTTTCTTCAATTCCGTTTGCCTGAAAGATTTTTTTCCATCCCTTCAGTCTCAGTCTGTGTGAATGCTTTGTTCTGAGGTGCATCTCTTGTAGACAGCAAATATATGGATCATGTTTTTATCCATTCAGCTACCCTATGTCTTTTGATTGGTGCATTTAATCCATTTACTTTTAATGTTATTATTGACAAGTACATGTTTGTTGTCATATTTTTCCTTAGTGTTTGTGTTTCTTCTTGCCTTTCTCTATCTTCTTTTAACACCAATCCCTTTAGCATTTCTTGCATTTCTGGCTTGGTAGTGATAAACTCTCTTAGCCCTTTTTTGTCTGTGAAGCTTCTGATTACACCTTTAATTTTGAATGATAGTCTTGCTGAGTATAATATTCTTGGATTCAGTTCCTTGTTTTGCATCACTTTGTATATTTTATTCCATTCCCTTCTGGCCTGGTGTGTTTCTGTTGAGAAGTCAGTTTATATTCTAATAGGAGATCCCTTGTAACTAACTTTCTATTTCTCTCTGGAAGCCTTTAAGATTCTTACTTTGTCATTGCTGTTTGCCAATTTAATTATGATATGTCTTGGCGTCAGTCTTTTGGGGTTCAACTTGTTTAGGACTCTATGTACTTTTTGGACTTGCATAGTTATTTTCTTGCCAATATCAGGGAAGTTTTTTGTCATTATTTCTTCAAACAGGTTTTCTATTTCTTGCTTCTCTTCCTCTCCTTCTGTTATTCCTATTAAGCAAAGGTTGTTTCTTTGTATGTTGTCCCAAATCTCCCTTAGGCTTTTATCTTGCTTTTTAAGTCTTCTTTTCAGTTGCTGCTGTGTTTGTGTGTTTTTTACTAACTTGTCCTCTAATTCGCTCATGTGGTCCTCATCCTCTTCTAGTCTACTGTTTAAACCTTCCATTGTGTTCTGCACTGCAGCTATGTTGTTCCTCATCTCCTCTTCGTATCTTTTCATGTTGGTGACATTCTAATTCAGCTCCTTATAATTCTCATTGAGTTGTGTGTATTTGTCATCCAGCCATTTAAACATCCTTATAACCATTACTCTGAATTCTATCTCGGATAAGCTGCTAGCCTCAAATTCATTTAACTCCCTTTATGGTGATTCTTCTTTTTATTTCCTTTGGGGATTGCTTTTTTGTCTTCCCATGTTTTCTGTAATGCTCTAATTGTAGATACAATTTCTTTGCTGCCCAGGTTCTTTTGAGGTTGGTGCTATTGGTGTAATCTCTCAGTTCTCCTGGGCTTATTAATCTAGTGTAGCTTTCTAGTGAGCTATTTGTGTTCTTTTGATGTAGGCCTGCGAGCTTGAGGGACACAACTGCTGTGTCTAGGAGTCAACTGCTGTGGAGGGGACTGTCCCATTTTTTTTTTCTATCTTGCACCCTTAATTGTAATCATGTGTTCCTAGCAGGGACTCCCAGTGGTTTCCAGGAACCGTCTGTTGGGGTGATGAGGCTCAGGGGGGCCTGATCTTTGAAAGGTGTGACTGTGCTGCCCAGACTCCTGCAGTTGTGGGGTGGGCAGACCCAGCTTTTGCTGTTGTACCTGTGGTGGATAGGCACTTACTCCCAGTGGTGACTCACAGGAGCACCCTCAGTAAGTTTGCCAGTGAGGCACGCTGAAGGACTCTGAAGGGCCCTGGCAGTGTAGCTGTGCAATTGAGGTGCCTGTGGGCTGGTATCAGGATAAGTGAATTCAAAACTTCTACTCCTGGAGGGGAGGTTGCGCCTCCCCCCACCCATCACTTGTTCAAAATCACACCTAAGGAAAGTTCACAGTGCTCCCATTAGCGCCCTGTGGGTAGATGGGCTTAAACTTCCTGACTATTGGAACTTTGCCTCTGTGGAGGTGCACTTTCCAGGTGCAAAGTTCTGATGCACTCTGAGGGGTCCTGGCAATGAGGGTGAGCCACTGCAGTTAAAATGGACAATTATCCAGGAAGAGGGAATTCAGAATATCTACTGTGGGGCCACTCACCCTTGTCTGTACAGAATCACACTCTCAGGGGCTCTCAAAGGCTCCCAGGTGCTGCCTAAGAGTGGAATGCTGGTTACCTGCACTGCTGGAAACCCACGAATCCAGCCAGAAAACCATGAATTGTGAATCCAGCTGGAAATGCGTGAATCCAAATCCAGAGTTCTGCTGCTGGGGAGGGGGAGGTTGCACTTACTGCTGCCAAGCAGTGCACCTTTCAAGGTGGAGGTCCCAGGGCCCACGGGTCTGCAGCTTGTGTAGCAGGATTTGGGGTAGAGTGGCTGCTGGGTAGCGGAGCAGTTCCAAGGCCTGTCTTGTTGGTGGTGTTGATGAGTTCCTAAAAAAGGCCGTTCTCCCCTTCAAGATGGCTTGGGCTCCGTGTTGGAGTCCTGCTGTCCAGGGACTGCTTGCAGCGATGGTAGTCTCTCCTTGTCAAGGAGAGCCTGTCTGCCAGCCTCTGCTGCTCCTGTGAGATTGGTGACTTTTCCTCACCCACTCACACACACCCCACTCACATCCACACACTCTCCTTTCATACCCTCACTCACTCCTCCCTCAGCTTTGTTCTGCAAGCCGCCATCTTTTTTCTCTACTCTAGTTTATTTAGAGACTTTCCTAATTGTAATTGGTAATTTAGTGTAGTAAAATGAAATATTTTAAAATCATGGCTTCTAAGAATCCACTTTTGGTGAACTTTTAGTAAAGATCAGGAGCCACAAAAATATCTCTACCTGATCCTTCTTTCACTTGGCAGGCTTTTCTGGGTCTAATTACTTGGGTATACAAGGATGAATGATGAAATCTCTAAGCTCATGTAGCATAGCTGGTCCATTGATCAATTTTAAATTGTGGTTAAAACTAGTCCTTTATATTTATTTTTGCCAGCCAATTATTTTGGGATTAATTAGAATAAGAATTTGAAAACTGTTTTTGCTTATGCTAATTCTTGATATTCTCATAAAGTAAAATGTGTGATGAATATAAAGACTATCTCCCATACCACTTATTTTTTCATATTTATTAATTGTTTATCTGTAACAGCTTGTACATAGAGACTTGTTCAAGTATGTTTTTTTATTGATTTCAGAGGGAAGAAGGGGGAGGGAGATAGAGAGGAAACATTGATGATAAACATCAATGGGCTGTTTCTTGCATTCCCCTACTAGGGATCTAGCATGCAACCTGGGCATGTGCCTTGATCAGGAATGGAACCAGTGAACTTCTGGTGCATGGGACAATACTCAACCAACTAAACCACACTAGGTGTGGTTTTAAATAACAGTTTCTATTATACTTTTAATGATATCTGAAAGATAATTTCAGTATCATAAGGCTCTACAGAAGAAAATACTTCCTTTTGTGACATGTCATGTTGGAGTAACAACCTCCAAAATCAGCGGGTTCACAGTATAGTTTATTTCTTGCTCATATTACATGTCCATCAGAGTTGGAGAAGATACACTCAGAGACCCATTTTGAGGGCGGGTCAGTTTCTAAATGTGCTTTATAAAGTATTGTGGCAGTAGAAGGGGATCTTAAAAATTGCCCAATGGCCCTTAAGTTTAGAGATAATGTATAGCACTTCTTGCATGCTTTTGGCCAACAAATGATATGTTCACACATAACTTCAGCATTGGGAGGAAGGGC